TTTGCTGAAATCTGGGCTTTTTAGGTTTATTTTATCTGTTTTATTTGATGGGGTTTTTCGTTTTTTGGATGATGGGTGGATTGGAATGGTAGTTGTAGTGAATTTTTATATTTTTGGTGCTTGAATTTTGGAATCTAAGAGTAGGATAAGTAATGTGAGAAACCTTTTTTTTTGTTTTCCAACGTGTTAAAGTAATTAGATGTTTGAAGAGACAAAAGGATGGGTTTTCGTGAAGAAAAATGAAATAATAGCAGTACTATCTTGTCAAATTAATTAACTAATTATCTGGATTTTTGTATTTAGCGAAGAATGATAGGTGTGTTGTTTCAGTTAATGAATCTCTGTAAAACTGAAAGAGGGTTTCTTTTGCTTCTCTGGTCTGATCTTGATCTTGTTCTTGATGCAATATGGTTGTGTTTGGAGGTGGCTTTTAGGGATCTTACTTTTGGATTTGGCGATTTGTGTTCAGACCAGAGCTGTTGATACTTTTTAAACTAATGCAAGCAGTATTTGGATATATAAAGACATTTTGCTGAAGAAACTGTAGATTGCAAAAATGTCGATGTCAAAGAGTTCGAAGATGCTCCAATATATCAACTATCGGATGCGTGTTACCATCCAAGATGGCCGGCAGCTGGTAGGGAAATTCATGGCTTTTGATCGCCACATGAACCTTGTACTCGGTGATTGTGAGGAGTTCCGTAAGCTCCCACCAGCAAAGGGCAAGAAGAATAATGAGGAGCGTGAGGACCGCCGTACTCTTGGCCTTGTTCTCCTTCGCGGTGAAGAGGTCATCTCTATGACTGTTGAGGGCCCTCCACCTCCTGAAGAGTCTCGTGCCAAGGCTGTCTCTGCTGCAGCTGTCGCTGGTGCCGGTCTTGGTCGTGCTGCTGGCCGTGGAATTCCTACTGCTCCTCTTGTTCAGGCGCAGCCTGGCCTAGCAGGTCCTGTCCGTGGTGTTGGTGGGCCTTCCCCTGGCATGATGCAGCCACAACTCTCTCGTCCTCAACTTTCTGCTCCACCCATGACCTACCCTGCGGCAAGTGGTCTGCCAACTGGTGGTGCACCTATTGTCCGACCACCTGGTCAGATGCCTCCTATGCCATATCCTGGCCAGGGTCCACCAATGGGCCGGGGTCCACCTCCACCAGGTCCACCTCAATTTGCTGCTAGGCCCCCACAGGGTTTCCCGATGCCACCACAGTTTGCCCAGAGACCAATGGGAGGGCCACCACAGCCACAGGTACAAATGATGAGAGGACCACCTGCTCCACCAAGACCTGGAATGCCTGCACCACCTCCACCCCGTCCTGGGATGCCACCTCCACCTGGTGGTCATGTTCCTGTTTTTGGACCCCCTCGTCCGGGTATGCCACCTCCTCCCAATTCCCAACAGCAGCAGAATCAGCAGCAATAGTGATTCGGTATGCCTCCTTGATGTTTGATTAATGGATTTTGAATGTCTACTTACTTTTCAATCTCTTAGACCCGGAGATTTACACGAAGTTGATAGGATTGAGTTTGTTTAATTACATTGATGGAATGGATTTATTTATCAGCAACTTGTGTTTTCTATTTCTGCCATTTAATAATATGTTCAATAACTGGTATCATCTCTCTTCAGATATTTTGATTGTTTTGTATTGAAATATGTTACTAACTGGGTGACAGGATTTGGGTTTATAGTTTCAATGAAAACAGAATTGTTGAAAACATAAACTTAGTCATAGATTTTTAGTGTTTCTATTCTGATGTGCATTGATCATTTGGATATGTAATTAATTTGGAAACTTGAATTTAGCTGTGGCAAGCAAAAAAAAAAAAAAATTGCATGAATGAGGAAGCTAGCTAGCTATAAAGTTTTTTAGTTATGATCCTATTTCAGTTTGCCATGCTGCTGAAGTTTAGGTCTTGGTCTAAGATCTTGGTTTGGGAGGAATTCTGAAACACTGAGCTTGTTGCTCTTATAGTAACTGTAGTTCCCAAACTTGCTGAGCAGTTGCTTACTTCTTTTTAGTTGATGAATAAGTAAACAGTTATTCAAATTGTGACCAGGCATTCTAATTTTTCACCCCTAATGTGTTTTGTGCAGTGTTAGGAATTTTCTGTTATCAATTGATTTATTACCAGGTTTGTTATTCCAAGTGTCTGCATGTTCACCAACTTGATGTTTGATCTGGATAGTTATGAGTTTGGCATATGCTTTTTAACCAAGTAGAATGTGGTTCTTTTACTAATCTTAGGGGTGTTTGAGTGTGTGGTAGTGGTTTTTTTTAAAGTGTTTTTCGCTCATAAATGTATTGAAATGATATTTTATTATTATTTTTTAAAATCTATTTTTGACATTAGCACATCAAAACAATCCAAAAACACAAAAAAAATAAAAAAAATAAATTAATTTGAAGCCAATTTTTTTTTCAAATTTTCGTGAAAAGCATGTTGAACCGCATCCCCAAACAGGCACTAAAGCCTTTTATTTGTTAGTTATGCTGCTGAACTATGAGTTTAAAGTGGTTGTGTCTGTTAGGCTTTCAAATGAAAGTGCACTTGTATGTACAGATGTATTAGATTCTTAATTTATGTCTATATCGTTAGAGATGGTGGGAATACATAATGCTCCCTGTCATCATTGTTCCTGTGGAATATGGAGTGTGTACTGACAAGGGAATATTTGACCCCATTAACACTGGCCCATACCACATTGTGTGAGACCACAGAGGAAGCAAACCCCTTAGACCACAGATGTATTAGATTCTTAATTTATGTTTATATCGTTAGAGATGGTGGGAATACATAATGCTCCCTGTCATCATTGTTCCTGTGGAATATGGAGTGTGTACTGACAAGGGAATATTTGACCCCATTAACACTGGCCCATACCACATTGTGTGGTGGCGCCATTGAGTCATAATCCACTTTGTAGCTGCCACTAAGTGCATGATTCTAAAATATAAGTTCTATATACCCTTAGATTCCAACAAACTTGAAGCATTTATTAATCATCCATTCATCATCACCAATTCCAGGAGGGGTTGGTTTGAATGGGTCTTTTGTCATTTTAGTAGGTCACCAGCATGTCATATTCGGGTTCACTTAGTATTTTAGGAAACACAAACGTGGCTAAAACTAATTCTAGTGTTCGATGTTTTTCCTCCTCGGTCTCGGTGCTAAAAGATAGTATTTTGTATCTGCTTCTGTTTGTGATTTTATTAATTGACTACCCACAGATTTCATTGCTGAACGAGTAACATTCTTAGCTCATTAAAGCTTTTTTTTGTTGCTATATTATGTGCCCATTTAATATTTAAATCTGCTTGTTTTGCTTGCATTTATTAAAAGATTTGTATATTTTTGTTCCAACTTTTTTTAGGTTTGACACTACTTTAATATTACCAAAGACTTGCTTGTTAACCAACTCTAGACAGATTTATTTGGAGATATAAATCAGATGCTAAAAACTTTATAATGTCAATTGTAAGATTGCATTCCAGTTGCACTTTACTCCAAGCTTGCCCTGGAAAGCTCACTTTGATCATCTTTCTCTTGCAGGTCGTTCGTGCCTTGAACGTTTTCAGATGGAATCTGTAGAAGGTTATTTCAAGTGCTGTCGTGAAGGTTTCTTGTTGATTTTGTCTGAACTCATTTCAACTTTGCAAGTGACTTCAACTACCGTGTATCTCTCTTATATTCTAGGGTAGGATTTGGTCGATGTTAAATCACAATATTTTATTCTAGCAGAGTATCCACTACCAAGAGGAAAAGTTATATTAGCAAATCTGATCATTAGACGAAACAAACTTGGGGCAGTGCAGGCCTTCAACTAAATTAGTCATCATATAGTGTTTGCGATTTTGGGTGCATGATGCATGTGCTCAAGCTACATGAAGCTGATCGCCTGATGTCCATTGAAAAAAAGATGCTGTGGAAATGTGGCATTGACAATTTCTTGCCTAGAGTAAATTGAGACGTGAAGTGATATATTTGGATGTTTGGTGGTGTCTCTGTGCTATTAAATTTTGTAGGCACTTTGTTATGTGCTTCTATTAGTGTCAGGCTCTCTGCATGCGAGTTAGCCCTGTTTTCAGCTCTTCTCCCTCCCACTGAGTGAATGCCAAGTTAAACTTTGAATGGCTGGACCTGGAACCAAAAAAATTAGATTATAATGGACTTCCTCTCCTTCCCACTACGTGAATGCCAAGTTAAACTTTGGATGGCTGGACCTGGAACCAAAAAATTTAGATTATAATGGACTTGTTTGTAATCCACTCGTAATTCACAGGCGCTGTATGTATTTTCCTCGTACTTTTTCTCCTTTTCAATTGTAGAGATCTTAGAATCCGGCAACCTTTTTGAAGCAATTCTATTCTCGTTTTACGTTGGAACCATGAAGTTAGCAGGCCCTCTGTCCGATCTTAGAAAATTTCAATTGTCAGACTTGGGATATAGCTCAATCAGGTCTATAGAAAAACTCAGTCTTTTGTTTTTTTAGTAAAATGACAGTGCACATGAAGCTGTACAAAGAAAATTTTGTACACGTGCAAGTGAGGTTCTAGTCTAGTGGTGGGAGGAGCTTGTTCCCTTCCTCTGCACTTGGATTCAAACCTCACCATGCACGTCTGTCACCCCGCGGTGTCTTACCTGTTTACTGGGCTTGCAGGATGTTCAGTGGACTGTGGAGATTAATCATAGTGCGCGTAAGCTGGCCCGGACACCCCATATAAATAAAAAAAATAAAAAAATTTGTACACATGCAATAAAGTCAGACTTGGGATATAGCAATCAGGTCTATAGGAAAACTCAGTCTTTTGTTTTTTAGTAAAATGGCAGTTTTTAGGGTTTTTTATTCAAGAATAAAAAATAGTTAAATCTTGGGCTGCCTCCCTTGTCCAGCCCTGGTGTTGCGTTTAGCAAAATTTGTTTTAAAAATGTTTATTTTAAATTTATTTTTAAAAATAAAAAATATATTTTAATATAACAAAAACTTTAAAAACAACAATCCCCACACTTCCAAACCCCTTCTATAAACTCAATGGTGCTGGAGTCAGGGTCTTGCGAGAAACTAAGAAGGTGACATGGTCTATGGGTGGAAAGCTACAATCTTGACAGTAGAGAAAGGTAATGGTTAAAAGGAAGCCAGCCTGTCGGCTTGGCGTGACTGAAGGCGAATTGGAAGTCCCTTTTCAGGGGTCGGCATCATGTCACCAGCGATCTTTTCCGCAGGAAATGCTACCTCCCACCTGAACCTCTTCACGACATTGTGAACAAAAGTCAGAATAGCTAGTCGAGCATACTCTTTTCCAGGGCACATTCTAGGGCCACCTCCAAAAGGCACAAATGTGAACGGAGGAAAAGCCTTTTCATCGTCGTATCTCGATGGGTCAAATTTCTCAGGATCTGGGAAGTACTGTGGATCCTTGTTTGTTGTGCTAACAGACCAGTATATCTGCAAATGTAGAGCAAATCAAGAGTTAGTGGAAAGCATGATGTGTAAAGCAGTGCAAACAATTGTGGACTTGAACAAAATCTATCACATACTTTCCATCCCTTTGGAATGGTGTATCCTGCATAAGTAAAGTCAGTTAGGGCTTCTCTGAAAGTTCCCTGGAGTGGGGGTGTGAGCCTCATCACTTCATACATTACATTCCATGAGTATTTCATCTTCTGAATGTCATCCCAACCTAGCAGCTCTCCAGCCTTTTTATCTGCCGCAACCTCTATTTGCTCTGGTTTTCAAGAACACAGGCCATTGATAAGATCAGTAACATGACAGTCATATGCGTGTGTGTGTGAGTTGATACTCAAAATCATCAAAAACAGGAGAGAATGATTTCTTTACCAGCTAGGATCTTAGCATAAATATCAGGCCTCTCTCCAACATTTTTCATAAAGAAAGTCATAGCAGTAGCCACTGTACTATATCCTGCAACTAGTAAACCCATGATCTTGTCAGCAATTTCAGCCTCTGCCATGTGTTTGCCTGAAGGGTCGGTGGCCAAGATCATGTGGCTTAGTATATCCTGCACCTGTGTTCCTTTGGACATAGCAGCCCTTTTCTCATCGATTATTATTCGTAGTTCCTTGCGGATTGCAGCTGCAGCCTTGTTAGCTCTGTAAAAAGTTGTTCCATAGACATTTAAAGGAATGGAATGCATCCCCAAGGTCATATCATCGAAATTGCTGACAAGCCTAGCTATACGTTCAGGATCATCCGAGCCCAAGAAAAAGCGACACGCAAGAGACAGAGTCAGCGTCTTAGCAAGAGCAAAGGCCTTGACTTCATCCTTTCCTTCCCAGTAAGTCTGCATATGCAGCTGTGTGATAGAGTCCATTTTCCCCAAGTACCTGACCAATGCCTCAGGCTTCAAGAACCCTGGCGACCTTAATATTTTCGACTCAGCTTCGCGTGGAATTTGAGCAGGAGCAGCAGCTTGATAGGAACGAAAAATCTTTTGCATCGCATGAGGTCGAAAGGCAGTGAAGAGCTTCAGCTCATTGGAGAAAAGGAATTTGTGTCCCCTGGGGCCACATATGACAGCAGTCTCCTCTCCAAGAATCTTAGTCTTGAAGATATCAGAAGAGTACCTTTTCATCCTGTCGGAAACAAACTTTTCAGGCTTACCAAACAAGAAATCAAGCGTTTCGCCGAAGATAGGCCACCCTAAGCTCCCTGGTGGCAGGTTCTTGGCACTGTGGGATGAGTGCTTGAAAGCAAAGATGCTAATAGCTAGTGCTAGGACCAAAAGAACCATGGACAGCAATAAACATATTACCCCCATGACTATTTTTTATGCTAAAGAATCTGTTCGATAGTTTTGGGAGCAGCTTGTGAAGATTTGAGGTTACAGAGGACGGAATGGTGGGTTCATATAGGCAAAGATGAGTGGTGTGGTGCTGGTCTAAAATCGCAGTGTCTGCCTGCCAATAATCTAGTAGTCAAACGTGAACCATAACATGATGAAGTAACTGAGATCTACAAGAAAAAGGACAAAAGTAATAAAACTTGGCATATAGTTATTACCCCACGCAGACGTAATATATTAAAATTAATTTAATAACCTTTCAGACTCGAGATCTAATCTATTTATTTAATTTCATAATCATCTATTTTATTATCAATGTATACGAAGTATTTGATACATGCAACTAGACATCATAAAAATGACAACTTTATTTGAAAAATTATAGTTTTGATCATCCTTTTTATTGCTTAATTTATATCTAGCATGAACTAATCTGCTTATCATCAAACTTATCGGAATTGATCTGTTAATCTATTGGTTAATTATATTCTAAAAAAAACAAAACATTAGCTCATCATGATGTTAATGATCATATGTTAAAATAAGATTAAAAAGGTTTTAAATACTTGGATTTGATCATATGTAATCAAAGAATATTCTAAACCCAATATATAGGTATCAATACTATGCTTTTTATCATGTGTTTCTGCGTTGGAAAATACTTTGGACAGACAAAAACCTCTAGCCAAATCATATATTTTCCTCTCATTTTTTTTGGGAATTCATATATATGAGTGATTATTCCTTTCTCCATCTTTGTTCTTGCAATCGAAACTGGAAAGACTTCCTGGAGATATATACTAGACTAACGTCAACATGCTGATATATTTTGAAACCAGCATGAAAGAGATCTAAAAGATCAGTTCATGTGAAAAGATTTTGAATCTCAACTTTGGATAATCTGCCTGCTATGTAAACTTTATTCCCTTTTTTATTCTAGAGATTGCGTAGGAATTTCAACTAAGAATTAAACCAAAGATGATAGCTCGATCCGGGAATAACATAAAATGGCTAAAGCAACATGAACATGAAGAAAAATAATCCCTAAATATAATTTTAAAGTTATTGAATAGCACGTGAAGCACAAAAAAAAAAAAAACCAGGTTGGATATGGAAATTAAAAGAAAAGGGCAAAGTGATCTTAATCCCTGTGTAATGGATGAAGAAAATAATTTTTTTTTTCTCTATTAGGAGACTCTAATTTAGCCTCTTTTTCAAAGATTTATGGAGTAATGCTTAATTAATTACTGCAGTGTTTTGAGATATAAAAGTTGAAGATAATAAAAATATCAAAATTTATTTCAAAACAATCCAGAAATAAATTCATTTTACATCTTAGTTTTTGTTTCTTTTATTATATATCTTGAGATATCAACTAAATATAATTAGATTTACTTTTTTTTCATCTTCCCTCTTTTCTGTTTTATGAGACAAACTAGGGCAAAATTCGAACATGAAATACATGTACTCCATTTCCTTTATCTTATGTTCTATGACTTAATAAAATTTAATTAACCAGAAATAATTAGCTTTGTTTTTTTCAATGGCCGGCAGCATTCCAAAAAGAAGATTAAAAAAAAAAAAAAGACAGAGCAGGCACAATCTAACATGAGATCCAGGAGCAGTGTCTAAAGTCTTTAAGTGCTGTCCCCTCCACCCCCTTTAATGTTTCACGTTTGTACTTTCTTTGAAAAGGAGCGCGCTGAGATGTTGATAGTAATTATTTTTAATGTATTTTTTTTATTTTTTAAAAATATTTTTAATATTAACATGTTACAGTAATTTTAAAGAAATTTTAAAAAAATTAAATTTAAATAAAAAATTAAATTTTAATCAAACCCTAATACAAAAACAGCTTCAATCAGGATTTCAAATCCCAATTCACAGATTAGTTAGATTATTTTTTTTTTCACTTAATACCTATTGATTAGATTAATTTTTTTTCACTTAACACCTAAATTATAGTTATCTATAGCTCAAATGATAAATTTTTTTTTTTGTCTACAATATGGTTTCGAGTATCCTTGTATCTAATAAATAAATACATAAATCTTGCTATTTTTTTTAAATGTAAATTTACAAATACTTGAATTAATTATATATAGTGCCATTAAACCTAATTCGACTTGATTTGATGGATTAAGATAGTAACTCATTAATCTTATTAATTCATTAACTTTGACACATGTTATCAATTCAATTTGGTGAGTTAACTTATGTTCTAAGTAATTCAATTATAATTTAATTTAATTTTGTTAAGATAACATCTAACTTCATTTAAAATCTTTAAATTATACTGTTTAGAATTGATATGGATTAATCTGAGCTAATTCACACAACTCATGAACAGAGCCCTGATCTCGCCCTCAATATGTATTCTATTGATAAAGCTATGTATGTCTTATGCAGACAGGCAGTGGAGTTATTTCCATTTCTTTTTTTTTTTTTTGAGCCACAAGAAGAACTGATAACATTTAAAATGCTGAGTGATTTCTAATTCACTTTCTTTGAATAGAATTCTTGCTTGAAATTTTGTTTTTTCCCCATAAAAATAAATTAACGATTCAAAACAGTGACGGAGGTGTAGTGAAATGATCGGAGGGGCCAATGTGAGAAACAAGCCAAGGTAATAATACACAAAGTGAAAAATATAGGACCAAAGTGTAATGAGTAAACTTTTAATAGGAACATAATTGAATTACACCTTAAATATTGGGATTCAATCTTAGACTAGTAGTTCGTGTGTAAATCAAGATGTCATTTAAGAACATGATGATGCAGATAATATTTTACTAAAATTTAAATTTAAAAATAATTTTTTTATATTTTTAAACTTTTTTAGTATAAAAGATAAATTTCAAAAACATTTCAAAAAATATATATTATTATAATAATATACGATGTGCAAAACTTGATGTATTAATTTTTTTTAATGAATTCTTCAGAATGATGGACTTAAATTTCTTAAAAAACTAAGCATTTATTAGATGGATGCTTGAAATTAGAAGGTTTATAATATATAATAATTTTTTTTAGTTTAATGTGAGTATCTGAAATAACTTATATGTATTTTAATTAATTCTATAAATCTTAAAATTAATAATTATGTAAAATTCTAATAATTATTATATAATCAATTCCAGAATTCAAACCTGAAAATAAAAAAAAAAATTTAGTTTTAAATTCTTACGACTGGCCACCCTAAATGGTTAATAATAATTTAATTATGGGAGTAGGTGTGAATTACGACCGAGTCCAATGTTAATTTGATGAACTGATAATTTGACCGAGTCCCGTGGTGAGCTGTAGCGGGAGACACTGTTTTCTTGGACTTAAAATTCAAGTGGGTGGGTTCATATGCACCTTCTAGGTAATATGTTTATTCCCTCACCGTGACTTGCCATGTGGTTGATGGAGGTTAAAGTCAACCTGTATGAATATTTTTTTAAAATAAAATAATTATATTTGAAGATTCTAAGAAAATTTACTTGAGAATTATGCTCATTTATGATAGGGGAATGGCATCTAATCCAATGAGCAAATATATTTATTAATAATGTTGACACAATTAAATGTGTTATTTTTAAAAAATAAGTTTTTTTTATCATGTTAAATTCACGAGGCTTGATAATTTAATTTTAAAATTTTTATTTGTTTAAAATATCTTTCAAGTTATTAAAAAATTCTCATTAATAATGTTGACACAATTAAATGTGTTGTTTTTAAAAAATAAGTTTTTTTTATTATTGTTAAATTCACGAGGGCTTTATAATTTAATTTTGAAATTTTTATTAATTCAAAATATTTTTCGAGTTATTAAAAAAATGTAAAATAATATTATTTTAAAATAAATATATATTGAATTTGCTAGTACATAGATTGACCCAACAAACCCGAGTTTGGTTTCGATAACTGCTGGGGGGTAAGTCTTATGGCCATTAACTGAAAAATAACAGTTTAAAAATATTATTTTAAAATAAATATATATTGAGTTTGCTAGTATATAGGTTGACCTAACAAACCCGAGGTTTGGTTTCGAGGTTTGGTTTCGATAACTGTTGGGGTAAGTCTTGGGGCATTAACTGAAAAATAATAGTTTAGATTAAATTCAAATATACTAAATACTGGCTTTAAACAAAAGAAGAATCTTGTGGCACATATCAGCTTAAACCTTACCTTAAATACAGTTAAACCTTGGTCCAAAAACAGGATATATAAATTTCACTTTATTTTTTTTTTCTTTGCTCAATTTTCTGTACAAAGCAGACTCAAGAATCATATCCCACACTAGGAGACTATCTATGAACAATGTTCAGACCTCCAGTTTCAGCAGCAATCACAACAGTGCATCTGCAACAAGACAAGTCCCATAGTTATCAGTTGAAAACACATGTTTGAGGAAAGCAACCATAAAAACAAAGGTTTGTACATGAGAAGTTAAAAAAATGTGATGTAGTCCACCCCAAAGTTATTATACCCTGACCAAGGCATCAATTACATGCCGGGCATGTTAATCTGATTTGACCCGAGCCAAATCAAAACTTCGTTTTTAATTTTTATTTTTTAATAAGTTAAAACAAAGATGGTTTGGAAGAACGTCAAATGAGGTTTTGATTGGATTAATTGGGCATGCCAGGTCTATTCCCATCCAATTTAATTTGAAGCGTAGCCTAGGTCGGCGGGTCATCAAGTTGACTCACCAGGCCGGGCCAGGTTTAATAAGACAGATCTACTCTTCCACAGTGGACGCTGTGAAAAAATTGGCATGATTTTGCTTTAAACTGCGTTGTTACAACCTTGTACACAAGAAAACAAATATAAGGAAACAGGTAAGAGTTTGGAGGGAGACAAGAAGAGAACTAACGGGAACTTGGAAATAACTCCATGATCAACAACGCCATCAACTTTATCAAGACTTTCAGCTACTTCAGCTGCAGATTAGGATTAGTGTGCGGTCGTGGAAAAGAGTAACTTAATGCATGGACAGAGATTAGAATGAGAAGAACTCATGATTATAGACCTACCAAGACTTTGTATTGGAGATGTGAAGATGACATCAAGAACGTTGTGACCTTCTCTTGTAATGAAAGGGAAATCGCCCCCCATTGGACCAGCTTGTCCTATCGATGATCTCCTCCATACCTTTGAATGCCAA